GAAAAACTCCCTGCTAATCAGGAAGAAAGCTCCAGCAGAACCAGGCTCAGGACAGGAGACCATCTGCCTTAACAGGATCAATCAGGTACCAAGGGTTTCTGGCCCCGCCCTCAGTCGACTCTGATCCTCAGACTGTCTGTTAGTAACATATTTTATCTTGTGTTGCTGCCTGAAACAGAGGAGTCAGTGTTAACAGACACCAAACATGAGTTTAATAAAAAGTCTCACCGTCACGCCGACGTTGGTGGGCTCCCGGCCCTCCACCAGCTTGTAGATGGACTGCAGAGCTTCCTCTTTACTTTGACCTTTGAACCTTTTGGGCGCCAACTCCTCGAGCGCTCGCTCAAACTCCTCGTATGTGATGACTCGAGCAGTTCTCTGTCTGAACACATCAGAAGAAACACTTGGAGCTGTTTCAGTTGTTTTATAGTTTTAATGTATTAAATTACAGATAAAACTTTACTGGTCAGCTCCTAATGGTTAGTTATGGATTTACTTTAGATGGGTTAACTGTGTTGAGCCAACAAACTGAGTCCAGGAAGGTCATCCAGAGAATTTATACTGACTGTAGTTGGCAGCAAAAATACTCAAGTTATTGAGCTTTGAGGTGGTGAGAAATGTTTCTGAAAATTAGAGCTGGTCGAGTCCTGTTTCAGGTTTGTAACACCAAATTACGTAATAATGTAAAAAAAGGGCTTCAAAGTGTAATAAACCAGCTCTAAAACCACATTATGAAATAACTGCTGCAAAATGTAATAAAAGTCTTCAACACATTTTGTAATCCTCGCAGCCTCAATATGTAATAACATTATTAAATTTTGTGATGATTACAAATAAAATGTTTGAAAACTTTGGCATTTATTGACCAAAACACTTTGTATTACCAGTAGGGGGCGCCACAGAGAAAAACACTTACTTCACTTTGGAGAAGACGATGTCCACGTCAGTGGCGGTGACATTCTTGCAGTCGATGATCTTGCAGTCTTTGCACAGCTTGGCCCAGTTCTTCCCGTTCAGCTCCTTCCCGGTTGCCTTCGTGTCTCCGTGAACAGCGAACTTTTTGAAAGCCACGAGGAGCTGCTCCACGTCTGAACTCTCTGCCATGATGGGACGGTGGCTAAAAGACAGCACTAATAAAAAAAAGATAAAAACTGTTGAGTTGAGATGAACAGTCCCACCAACTCTTCTACCAAACTCAAAGCTTCCTGTAAGTTTTGTATTAAACTTTAACCAGAATGCAAATTCAATTAAACTCGGGGGTGTGCAAATTGATTCAGATTCAGTCATTAAGTCCAGTACAGGAAAAGACAATGAACAATTCTCATTATTATTTTTGGTTATTATCTGTGTAATGATTGAGAGGTAGGGTTATTCGATGTGCAAACACAACATGAAGCTTATCAGGATTGTTGCGAGCAGTGATGGTTGTAGAGTCTAACAGCTGATGGGAGGAAGGATCTACGATAACGCTCCTTTGTTAATTTAGGATGCAGCACTCTGTCACTGAAGGAGCTCTGCAGATCAGCCACAGATCCACACGTTGAGTGGGAGGTGTTCTCTGTCATTGACGTTTTTTTAGGGATTTTATACCACACTAATTTTACAGATATTGAGCCAAAATTTGGTGTGGTAGTAGCTGAGAGTTGTTTAAAACAGATAATACATGGAGTTATTTTCTARGTTTGATCGAACAGCTACATCTGTCCTTTCTGATTCTTAACCTCTTGAGCAAAACAGCGTTTCCCATTTATTTATTTCTTTTAACTTCTATTGACCTAAGATCTTTCAGTTAAACCTGGACATGTTTGGAACCAATAGAAAGCCAAGAATCTCTATTTTTACATCCACCAAACAAAGTTCAAATGTCAAGCAGATGAATGGGGAAGTAAACAAACTGTACAAAATGGGATTGTTGCAAATCTGTAAATATATTACAACTAATCTGTAAATACATTACAACTAATCTGTAAATACATTACAACTAATCT